CATGCGTTACTTTTTCATTCTGCAACACTGATGGTAAAATTGACTGTAGAGTAAGCAGTTTGCAGGCTTCTGACATTGCTAAGGGAGATCAGTCTATTGAAACCGATCAAAAATGTCAAATCTTTTCCATAAGTGTTCTTGACAATTATTCAAGAAAGTCCAACAGAAAATTCATAACTCAGCTTTCAACTGCAGTTGAAAAAGATTTTGTGTATTCTTGTGCAGAATCTTGTCATTCCTCATCCGAATGCATATCTTTTCAATACTGTGATGGTTATTGTAGTTTTGGTGATCTATTGTACACAGATGCAGGTACTGAATATGACCAGGAATGCATGATATATACTCGTAAGTATTTTTACAAGTAACGCAAGTACCAAGTCTCAAATTCACCGTATTTCTTCCTTTTTCTTGATTCATTCAGGCAAAGTATCTGAAAGATATCAAAGAACAGGTAGCAAAATAGTATCAGATGTGATGCACACCGAAACCAAATTGACCTTAGACCAATGTGCTTCATTATGCTATGAGGTATCTGATGGCGATGAAACTGGATGTAAATCATTTAATTACTGTCCTAAGAGTAGAACAGAAAGTTCTTGTTCATTAACTCATTTTTCAGTCAAGAGTCCGGATACCAAAACCACTGATGGAGGTCATTGTTCCAATTATGAGTTAAAAGAATCGAATGGAAAGAAACGAAAAGAGTCCAGTTCAACTAAAGTTATTAAACGGACATCGGGATCAGGTGCTTTTGGTATAATAATGTTGTTCTTGTTTGTCGGCATTGGATTGGGATTCATAGCTCCATTTGCTTACTCAAAGGTTAAACAGATGCATGATGCTTCAAAGGCTAATGGAGGCTTCACTTGGGAAAGACATCAGGATGAGCAGCCACTTGAAAATGGCGATTGAATTCATTCAATTTATGCAATAGAATTACATTACTAATTATTTTCTGTAAAAACATTTCTTAAACTTTAATATATCTAATAAAAAGCTTATGCTACAGCCCTTATTTAAACCCTGGTTTTAACAAATTGAGGCTTTGATTTTATATTTATCAGAATATTCAAAGATTACCTCATATTTTGATCTGAAATTTCGGCCCTCAGTTCGTGTAGTCTGAGCGAGTAATGAGCTCGAATTTTCAAGTTTCCAGGAAATATCTTTCAGGCGTATTCTTTGTGAAGAGTTAGCTTTCGTGAGTTTATGACGTTTCTGGGTTGCTTCGCCAATCTTTTGAACTTTGAAGCTTAATAATTATAAAATAAAACTTTTGAACTTGAAGGACTATGGATAAATGAATTTTTCTAAATCAATCTGGCAACCTAATGGATGATTCCCTGATTACCACTTATTAAGAAATACAAATAAAAGTAAAATTTGCACAAATAACCAAAATCCTTGCATTTAATATAAAATACTAAATCCGAAAGCCGTTTTCAGACGTTTTACAACTCAGGCAGTTGAAAAGAAATGAAAAACGGTTTTCAACAATATCACAAAAGTGTTGAATTCAACTGTTCATGTATTAGTAGTATTAATAGTTCATATTAACCAAGACTAAATAAAGGAGCCAGTTTATTTTTCATTTTGGCTCAAAACTTTTACAATGTGACCTAACTGTATTTTACATGAATGCTGAATTCATATGCGATTTGCAATAATTTACTCCTAGTGTCTAACAAGATTTGCCAAACTTTACACATGTTGAGATTGAGAATTCACGATTTATTTTAGACTGAAGATATAACAGTCAGTATGTTGGTTACAAGTGGTAAGTGTTAGTGCAGTCAGAGGTGGCGGATCATTAAGCATTATCTGATTTTTTATGTATATTTAAAATTTTTTGCACCATAATTCACTGCAAAAAGAAAGAATAAGAAAGATATCTTTCATATTAATCAGTTCTGAAATAATTCGAGTAATTCGGACATAATGAATATGATTCTATTGACTCGAAATAAGTTTATCTTTCATTTATCAATCTTATGATTTTCGTCCGTAAATCCAGGATCCAAACTATTTCGAAGTCCATTTAGAATAACTAAGGAAATCAAACTTTTTTCGGACTTTGAATTCAGTATTCACAATGAAGAATATTATTGTAAACTCAAAAGTGTATAATTTAATTATGCATCATGCAAATCTCTGCAAAGTATTCATCTAAACTTGATTTTAATTGAGCATTGATTTAATAAGCATAATTTTCAGAAAAACTTTCTGGCCAACCTTATAATAAATCAACGATTCAACACTTTTTTATAATAAAAGATTTAATGAATATCTCCAATTTGCTCATCTATTTGTCTTTTCCAAGTGAAATCTATATTGATCTTTGAAGCTTCACGCATTTGTTTAACTTTTGCGAAAGCAAAAGGAGTTATGGATCCCAATGCAGCACCGACAAATAGGAACAGCATTATTATACCAAAAGCACCTGATCCTGTTGTCCCTTTAACTACTTCAGTTGAACTGGATTCTTTTTGTTTCTTTCCACTCGATTCCACTTTCAACTCGTAGTTTGAACATTGACCACCATCACTGGTTTTGGTATCAGGATTTTTGACTGAAAAATGAGTCAGGGAACAAGAACTTTCTGTTCTACTCTTAGGACAGTAATTGAATGATTGACATCTAGTGTCACCATCAGACCATCGAAGACACAATGAAGCACATTGATCTAAGGTTAATTTGTTTTCGGTGCTAATAACATCTGATACTATTTTGTTTCCCGTTTTTTGGTATTTTTCAGCTGCTTTGGCTATAATGAGAAATTGAATTAGTTAAAGACTCAACTGATTGCAAGAATACTTACGAAAATATATTGTGCATTCTTCATCATATTGAGTATCTGCATCTGTGAATAAACCACCAAAACTACAAGAACCATCACAGTATTGAAACGATATGCATTCAGACGAAGGATGACAAGATTCTGCACAGAAATGCTGATCTGTTTGCATCACAGTTGAAAGCTGAGTTTTAAATTTTCTATTGAGTGCTTTTGAATAATCGTTGAGAATGCTAATAGAGAAAATTGTACATTGGATGTCATTTTCAGTATGCAAGTCTCGATTTATAATGTCAGAAGACTGCAAACTGCTTACTCTACACTCAGTTACACCACCAGTGTTGCAAAATGAAAAAGTAATGCACGAAACTTGATCTGAATCGTGACAGTTTCGGTAACAATCAGCAAAAGTTTTTACATCAGGTACAGACAAAGTGAATTGGTCATCGATTTTCAACTTTGCATCCCATCTAAGTTGAGAAGCAATATCATCATAAGGAGCAGTTCCCTCTTTAGTTACGTCGATAACACCAATAATCTTAAAAGTTACAGCTTTTGAAAAGAGAATAAGAATGATTGTTATGAGTTTCTCGGTGACGCAAAAGGATGAGAAGTATAAGGTACTAATACTTACGCATATCTCCGTCAAACAATTCGTATGTTTGACCAACATCTTGCAAGTATGCATCATGAATCTGGTCAAGTGGTAACTCTTGCTTGATTCGATGAAAATTGTTCAGTGGGAATTGGAAGACGCTGGATGCTTCTCCGAGCTTGAGATCTTCTTTGAGATCCTCGAGATTATTCAAGTATCCACAAACAAGATTCGAGGCTATGTAGATGATAACCCTGGTTGCGAAGAAGGAAACAATTTCAGTTAAGCGAATTTTAATGGCATTAAAACGCTCATAAATACAGTATTTTTCAAAAAAATTGTCAGTAATACAAACATTTATTTTTTATTAATTATAAACATCAGATGATTAAGATTAACTGAGCTGAAACTATATGAGTCAAAGATTAAATTTGAAAAAAAATTAGTATGATATGTGCTGTCCTTCGACTTTTAAGCACATAACAAGTCGAGTTTTTAGTGAAAAAATTATGTAAGTTAAAAACTTCTATGGAGTTTATTATGGAGAAATGATAAGCGCCACCTGTTGGGCGGTTGAAATTTAGGTGTCCGACCCGAATTAACGCTTATTAGCCTAAGACTCTGACTTTATAATTTTATTTTCAACGATGAAAATGATTATACGACTGACTTAGCACACATTAGCAAAGCTAATGCCTTAATTTGTGGCATTTTTCAATCCAAAACAGACTTGCAGTCTTTTTTCATGATTTTAGGCAGCTGAGGTCATTTCAATGACAATTATTTCATACAAATTGGACTCTGAATGCTGAAATTTTTGTAAATTCGAGCTCTCTGAACACGTTTTAGTCCCTTTCCAGAATTTAATAAAATTTTCAAGTCTAATATCAGAGATATTCCATCTTGAAACAAACATAGAGAAGTGACAGTTTTTTTGAAAAATACTGTAGTATCGTCTTTATAAATATCTCATATAAATATCGTCTTTACTTGATTGTCTCTTGATAACTCGATAGTTTTCTCACGCATTCGTCTTCACTGTCAGCCTTAGTTTTTTTCATCTTAGCTAATGTTTCTTGGCTGACAGACATAAATTTAGAGTTGAAATTGTCTGCAAAAGAACAGAAATATTAATGATTGAACTCAATTGTATGTGCAGGATGTGGGAATGAGGAATTAACTTACATTGCGGTAGATTGACAAATGTTACTTCCATTTCGACTTTTGTATCAGTGAAGCGATATTGAATATCACTGATTCGTAGTATGCTGGCTGGTCTAGCTAGAAGTACATAATAAAGGAAGTCTCCTTTCAACCAGTTAACACGATTCTCTGTGTGTTTGATACAAGAACCGTATGCAGGATCAAAATCTAATGAAAAGGACAAAAAAGTTAAGAAGTTATTTGTACCAATTTATTTCAGCCTATCAATCTTGATCCAAGGCTTGCCATTATTTTCAAAGTAAAGTTTCCATGAGCAGTATATTTCATGCATAGTTATGTATTATTTAACGAACTGCAACGAGAAGTTATATGATTTAATATCCAGGGCCAAGCCCGTCATTGTTTTACATATAACTTCGACTCTGCAGTTTACTGCACAAATTTTAAAATAGATACATACCATCGCACTCTAAGATGAAGTCAAGGATCAATTTACCATCGCTATTAGAGTATTTAACCTTTTCTGTCAATGAACGGATACTCTCGACGGATCGAACCTCTTGAAAGTTCATGTAATCTCTCGTGATACCATCCTTCCAAGTGTAAACTTTTTTCTATTCAAAGACTAATGTTAATATTTTGACAAATAATGAGATGTGAAATGAATACTTACCGATTGATCATAATCATAGATGGAGATCTTGGTACTGACAAGAGAATAGTCCCAAAATATGTCTTCATGTTGCTGATGATCGCCATTTAAATATTGAATTCGATATAAGCAATGAATAGCATTAAAAAATCATACAACTGACTTGTGTCTGGACAAATCATACCTTTCTTCATGATCGAGTTTGTGTCTTTCAATGCAAATAACTTACCGATTGAGCAAAATATTGAGTAATGACTGCTTTATCCACCTTCTTTCCGTTGATGTTAACATTAAATTGAACTGATTCCCATACTTCAACAGGGACTCCAGATCGATGTTCCTAAAGTAGATATAATTAAAAACAATTTTGGAGGATTGTTATAGCTATTTGAGTATACAGTTTACAGTTGGTTTAGATTAATACATTTGTTTGACATTAATAAACTATTTAGAATGTACAAAAGATTTTTTAATATTCATGCATTCGCTAGATGATGTTCAACAATTCATTGTTACAATATTACGCTAAAAACTGAATTAGCTTACTTGTGAATATTGAAAATACACTGAATTTTACATATTGAACGCAACCTAGAGTGATACCTAGCGAGTCCTTAACCATCTAGTGGACATAGTGGACAACATTCATAAATCTTTCATCTGCAAAGATTCTTTGAATGACGAGCAAAGCTAAATGCAGTCATATCTCTCAAACTAATGGCGATAGTTTTTAGCAGAAGAAAGTTGATATGATTACCCAATTGTCATATTTATTCAATTATGCCTATCCACGAACAAACACTTATAATAAAACTTGCATTTAATGAAAAGGTCGAGCGTTTTTCGTCATTTACTTACCAAGTTGAGTTTCCCAAGATATTTAAAGCTACCATCGAGCATAAAAAGACTAGTCAAAGTGAATGAAGCATGCATGTTGACTCCAGGCGCATTCGTGTCTATAGTTGTTGCTACATAAATTCCATCAGAATCAATCGGAAAAGAAACTCCGAATCGATAATCATTTATCGTTTCTGTTGTTGCACCAAGCAATGTTGTCTTTAAGCTCAAATAATTGTAAAATTGTGCAGCATGAATCTGATAATAAAAGAAATGAATAAGTGGAATAAATAAATGGAATGAATAGTGAATTGACATATTTTGCTAGATAAACTAACCTCACTATATGATTGAGAAGTAGTTGAACCTTGTATGTTTTCTTGCATGGTATAATGCAAGTGATAAATCCTCAGAGCGGGTAGATCTTTATTTCCTGATAAGTAGTGTGGACATCCGATTCCGGGTAAAGGCTAGTCGAGAATGAAAGTAGTTTTATCATAAATTTGTGTTTTCACTTGAAAAAGCACATTTAAAATGAGAAATTTTTCATTTCTGAATCAGTAACTATTACATTTAGCAAATATTGTTCTTGTATACATATTTACTTAAATGCTACTTATTAATGCTTACTTGAACTTGATTCTGGAGTTGATCCACAGTGTTTTCGTTCTGAACGTAAATGTCTAAAATGATATTCTCTTTGGATGCAAAGGGACTTGAATCATAACCGTTAATTTCAATTCGTTTTGGATTTTTAATTCCAGTCTCGTCATCTGAATTATCTGAGATAAGAGTGAAGGTCTTTTAAATTAAATTAAACTTAATTGTTTCAACTCACGTTTATAATAATAAGTTATTTTCAGTCTTTCGTTAATCTCTGATGTTGCGCTCATCATCATGGTTCCTCTTACGCTTTTGAACCGTGGAAGGTTTGATGTCTATTAACAAACAAACAAAGTCGATTAAAGCATTTCTACAGACTTTCTCGAAGGAAATTGTTAATGTATTTACCCAAACAAGCAACGAATGATCTATTCGGTATAATATCGAAAGTCCCATTAAAAGAATCTGGTTGAGTAAAGGTTTCTTGATTCCTGGTAAAGTTTTATCCCAACTTTTCTGTAAGTGAATAGTAAACAATTTGTACCTTTGACAATTAAATGAACAAATATAATTAATTAAATCAATTCGCAAATGGAATTGTTGATCATTTCTATTTTTCAACTAAGGAGTTCAAACGTGCCTTTTATACTGTGCAAGATTTTTTCTTTAAACCTCTGTTTCCACATTCATTTAATCTAGTTTTCAAGATACTTGAATCTTCTTACCTTGAATAACCAACCGTTCCTTACTGTCCACACCAGTTTCAGAATCAGCATGATAATGTATTGAGTAAGAATCCGTATCACTTGAGATCAAAATTTTACCTTTAATGGTTGAACCAGAAGATGATATCAACTCTTGTATAAAATACTTTTTAAATCCATTCTAAGAGATGAAATCAAAAGTTAGATTGATCGACAATTAGTTGATCTTTCAACTCACGACATCAGTTAAAGTAGCATTGATCACTGAGCTTCCTTTAGGTACTTTCAATGGTAAATCCACCAAACTAGTGATACTGACTGTGTTAATTAACAAATAGATATTAGATTAAGACGATTGAGTTTTAATTTCAATTCTTACTTGTTGAGATTTTTGTGAACAATGTAAAGACAATTAAAAGTTTGAGTTGCATTGATTTTTTATTGTATTACAATTTAATGCATGCAATTTTTACAAACAAATAAAAACACAAGGAATAGCAATTAGTTGAAAATTTGTAAATAAATAATTTGAATTGTTTTGCTTTCCAATGATACCTGATAAACACAATTAAAAACGCCTTAGATCAATTGATTAATTGTAACCATTCGGTTTCTGAATCATGTACACAAAATGGTAAACATTAGATGCGTACAAAGTCAAGAGATAAATCCAATTTTCACTGGATGAATAGCAACATCTTTGCATTGATGTCGTTGAATCTTGGGTACCATGAAATATAAATTATTTCAGTGTATCTCATAACAGCGAATAACTCATCAATGTTCGTTGATCCAACAAAGTAACTAAGCATGAAAATCCCAAATCATAAAGCTAGGAGATTATAACCCACAGAATGAGATCAGGTGTTTCATCCCATATCTAAATGATTGAAATACTGATTTCGATAAAATATAAAGAACCTCGATAAAGTCAATCTGTTCTTTTGAATCGTATTTAAAGTTCACCTGGTCATATGCTCGCCTGCATTTTTATAAGCTTCTATTTTTAAAACCCATTGATTCTACACAATCAAAAGATGGGTGTGTAGTGTTGTTTAACTTTTTGCTTACGCAAAAGTTAAACAAACGTGATACTTCAGTGGTCAATTTAGTTTTACTTTGACAAGACAAATACTGTAGATGAACAAATTAAAGATATTCATTGAATCTTTTTATTGGCGCTCATAGCTCTATTTGCCTACTCAAAGATTAATCATATGCATGATGCTTCAAAGGCCAGTGGAGATTTCACTTGGACAGCAAATATTAACTATGGTCTATAAGTAAATTAACAGTGTTTCTTTTGAACGCTAGAAAACCCAGGAACAATCCAAAAATCATATCATTCATTTGATTTCCTCGAAATGTATTCTACTACTCTTTTCTTTGATAAAATTTTGTTTTTGCGAATTTTTGATTAATCCCGAAAACGGCGTGAATGTTTAAAAGCACAATGCTTATATTCGCGGAAATACGGTAAATCTTCAATGGATTTCAATTCAAATCGCAATGATTAATTTTATGCAAAAGCATAGTTGGTTACCTGATATAAAAGGGTATTGCGGATAAAAAGTAGAATTAATCTTACCTAAAATTTTGATAAAGATGACGATGTATTGATAAATTGATTTGTCTACGTTTGTTTCTTCTTTAATTTTGTTATCTTCATTGTTATCATGGTCAACGTCAAAATTTAGGCAAGATAAATTCTACTTTTTATCCGCAACACCCTTTAGAATAATATTTTTTATTAAGAGTTTACTTTTCCTTCAAGATTACCAGTCTCAACAATCACAAGTCTTGTCAAAAAGACTACAGAGGTCAAACCTTTACAATAAGTGTTTATCTCTGAAATGCTTAATCTTTGTTACTTTCACTTGTTAATGCTCAAAAAAACTATCTAGTCTATACAGTATGAAGTCAATGTATAATTTTTTGCGTCAAGATTATGGGCAACCGAAGAACTAGGTTCTAAGAAAAAAATAACGCAGCATGTAAGTCCTGATTCAATTAAGTGACGAAAATAGAGGGATAGAGGTTACTTATTTAATATGCAAATACTTTACATTAACAAATGTAATTTTTTAAAATCTTGAAATTGTCCAATAAGGTATAGCCTAGTAGTTAAAGGAGTAGGTGAAAGTATGGAGGTTTGAGGTTTAAATCTTGGTCCTGTGGGATAGATGTCTGGCTTTCACACATCAGGTCACAGGTTCGAGACTGTTCCGGCTAGAAATGGGTGATATTTTGGCCGAATTTCAATATCGCTATCGGAAAAAATGGGTATCGCCCATCACTAGCTCTGACGGACCGGAGTTGACATAATCCGGTTAACATAATGACAAATTAAGGAGACAGATTTCGAGTTGTTCAATCATTCTGAAGTCAGGTATGGTGTTGATATGTTTAAGCCATCTCAACTAACGAATAACTATCACCAGACCATCGATGATGGAAGTTGACTCTCGGCATCAGTTAAATCTGAAAGCCGCTGAGTGACTAATTTCAATTAATTTGAATGATTTAGGTTTTGGTTATACACCCAAACCTCGTATATTTTGCCTTTTTAGAGTGCAGACATCTAACGGTCAAAAAAATAGAATGATCAAATTTTTAGCTACGGTGACTGTACAAGGTGTTCCGGTCAATAGGTCGGACTTTTAAAGGCTCACAACTCAGCAACTGTTCAGCCGATTCTTATCACTTTCACTATGATTGGAAGAAAAAATGTTAGATTTTTGTTTGGCCTAAGCTTGGTCACCATGATTTAAAAGGCCGTTTTTTGGCGAATCGTCAAAGTCGGAAAAGTGTCAAATTTTAGTGGTGGTTGGTTCACAGAATTTTTAATCAGGCCAAACAAAAGTGACAATCTTTCTGAGGTGAATAGTGTTTACGGCATCAACATCGGAGTTAAGGTTAAAAAGATATCGTTTGTCAAAGTTCAGACATGTTTCCATGCTTCTGCTATGGCAAAAATCAAATTACGGATTTTGTTCCTCTATCACTACGAACATCGCACAAAATGTTACTAATCGTCAAAAAATATCCTTACAAGGTCATTCAAGGTCAT